TTAAGAGAATTAATTATTCTTGGTAGGTAATACCCTTTTATTAATTTGAGTAAAGATGATATCTAAGGCCAGCATCTAGTGTTAAGTTATGCCTAGATGGACTTCTGTTCATTTATTCTGTTACTAGTAGTTGTTCTTCACTAGTGAAGTAAGTTAACGAATGCCTGCCTGTCACATGTGGGGCCTTTATTTTGTGTTCAGCAGGCACCTTCTTTGATAATTATAAAAGAGCTTAGTGGCTCTGAGAGAATTCAGTAATCTTCCTGATCCCTATGCCTTCCCAACAAAGGAGATTATCTTTTAGTTTATAGAAAGGTCACTCAGGTAAAACTGAAATCTCCTTCGAGGCAAGATAAATATCTTTATCCTTAACTGTGTCTCTGACATGCCATTATTTTTTCTTCAATAATTATAGTTTGCTGGCCTGTAAGTCTTTTATGTGAACTGCTTATGGATGGAAACTTAAACACTGTCACTTCAGCTCGATACGTGTTTATTGACATACTTTCCTATGTGTGCATACTGTGCTGGGAACTGAGTAAGCGCCAGGTGTAAATGCTGGAGCCAGGGAAGATAAAAAGAGAGTTTAATTTTTGTGTTCTCTAGCTAGTTATTGATTACTTGTAGCTAATTTCATAAGAAACTCTTGGAGGAAGCTGAAAGGGTAGTTGAGGTTCTACCTGGATTTGACAGGATTCTGTGTGTATGCTGAATATGAGGACAGCTTGGTGAATACTGCCTATTAATTTGCTTTTGGGCAGATCACAAGGTCAGGAGTTCGAGACCAGCCTGGCCAACATGCTGAAACCCTGCCTGTACTATACAAAAAATTAGCTGGGCATGGTGGTAGGTGCCTGTAATCCCAGCTACTCAAGAGGCTGAGGCAGGATAATCACTTGAACCCAGGAGGCGGAGGTTGGCCTGACCCTGTCTCTTATACACATCTAGATGTGTATAAGAGACAAGTTCCATGAGAATTCTTTTTTGACCTCACAAGAGTTAAGGAGACCTACTTTATGTGAAGGTGAGATTTTTGTAGATAATACTTTGAAAACCAAAATTACTTTGATACTAAACAGTTTATTGTGTCTGTTAAAGTAAAAAACCTAATTGAATTGCAGTTGAAATTCAAGAGTCTAGACATTCCTTGTGGGCATATTTGATTTCCTCTTTCCGCTTTTAGCTGTTGGAGAGGGAATTGCCAGGTGTCTTTAGTGGAAAGATATTTAACCTGCTGTCTGACTGCTTATTGTGGTAGATGAAGTGTTAGCACTGGCTCAGGCTTGTGAGACTGTTCCCCATTACTGTCCTAACACTTTGGCAGGATTTTGAGTAAAGTTACTTTATTTGACCTCTTTTGAGTTTGACCTCATCTATAAATTAGAAATAATGATACCCTTCATACTTACAGAATTTGGGAAGAGCAAATGAGATGATGAATATAAAAACCTACCCTTTCAGAAGGGTAAAAATAAAATACTACGATTTATGATCATAGCATTTTAGAATTCAGAAGGACAACCTCCTGACTCTAAGCAGTAAAAGTGGCAAGGATAAGGGGTTCAGCCATTGTTGAGAGGTTTCCTGCTTCAGTATAGTGCTGGGTCTGGGACCCAACCTCAATCATCCTAGTTCATTGTCACTCTCCTACTGTACTTATCTGAAATGGCAATAATAGTTAACTTCCTCTGTGCTTGGTACACTGGATGCCTTATGTAGTTTGTCTCGTTTAAGTCTTACATCATCCTTGTGAATTTTGATTCCCATTTTACATATGAGAAATCAGAGACTGTGAGAGGTGAGGTATCCTGGCAAGGTGGTAGCAGAGCTAGTGGGCGGCGAAACCTGAAACTGAACCTTAGCAGTTTGACTTCAAGCCTGCGTTCTTAACCTTTATGATTATCTTTGCATTTTTTTTTTTAAATCAAGAGATAAGTTTGTTTAATCAAAACACAGATTTTATTGTCTTGGAAAAATTATTCATTTATTTGTCTTAGCTTTTATTCATCACATAGTGTATTATGAAGTCAAAATCGTATGTAGTGATGACTTTTTAAATTATCTGTTTAGGTCTTCCAAAAATACAGAAAACATTAGTGAAGCATTTTAAGGTTTGTTTTTTTTTTTTTTTTTTTTGAGACGGAGTTTCGCTCTGTCACAAGGCTGGAGTGCAGTGGCGCTATCTCAGCCCACTGAAACCTCCACCTCCCGGGTTCAAGTGATCCTCCTGCCTCAGCCTCCCTAATAGCTGGGATTATAGGTGCGTGCCACCACACCCAGATAAGTTTTGTATTTTTAGTAGAGACGGGGTTTCACCATGTTGGCCAGGATGGTCTTGATCTCCTGACCTCATGATCCGCCTGCCTTGGCCTCCCAAAGTGCTGGGATTACAGGTATGAGCCCCTGTGCTTTGCTATCATTTTTTTGTTTTTATATGAAGTTCTTATAACATAAGGCAAGTTATAAACACAAATACATTTAGATTTCAGTGTTTTTACCATGCCAGGGAAGAGACGAGGCTTCAGGGAAAAGTATGGTTGAACTTTGTTAATATATACGTTTTTTGCCAGCAGAATTGGAGATATGCTTGGTGTGCCCATGCATTAAAAGCCGTAATTGTTAACACTTTTGGAGTACTTCACAGAGTGCCTGCCCAGAGTGTCTCACATGCTTCACACTTGGTGCCTGTGCAGCCTTGCAGAGTGGTAAGGGGAGAGTGAACGCTCATGACCTACTGCTGTCTATGCACACACTCCCTCCCCCACAGTGCCTCAGCTCACACCTGAGTATCTCTGTGCATGCTCCCAGGGAACTTCCTGCATTGCCTCAGGCATTCTGAAATGTACATCTTTACAACAAGACACACTTGTTAAAGCTCTTTACAAATGGACCTTGGCGGGGGGCAGGGAAAGCTGGTTTTCATTTCCAGTTATTTTAAATTTAGGCTTATTTCACACTTCAGCATTCTTTTAATTAATGTGTTTTAATTAAGAGAATTAATTATTCTTGGTAGGTAATACCCTTTTATTAATTTGAGTAAAGATGATATCTAAGGCCAGCATCTAGTGTTAAGTTATGCCTAGATGGACTTCTGTTCATTTATTCTGTTACTAGTAGTTGTTCTTCACTAGTGAAGTAAGTTAACGAATGCCTGCCTGTCACATGTGGGGCCTTTATTTTGTGTTCAGCAGGCACCTTCTTTGATAATTATAAAAGAGCTTAGTGGCTCTGAGAGAATTCAGTAATCTTCCTGATCCCTATGCCTTCCCAACAAAGGAGATTATCTTTTAGTTTATAGAAAGGTCACTCAGGTAAAACTGAAATCTCCTTCGAGGCAAGATAAATATCTTTATCCTTAACTGTGTCTCTGACATGCCATTATTTTTTCTTCAATAATTATAGTTTGCTGGCCTGTAAGTCTTTTATGTGAACTGCTTATGGATGGAAACTTAAACACTGTCACTTCAGCTCGATACGTGTTTATTGACATACTTTCCTATGTGTGCATACTGTGCTGGGAACTGAGTAAGCGCCAGGTGTAAATGCTGGAGCCAGGGAAGATAAAAAGAGAGTTTAATTTTTGTGTTCTCTAGCTAGTTATTGATTACTTGTAGCTAATTTCATAAGAAACTCTTGGAGGAAGCTGAAAGGGTAGTTGAGGTTCTACCTGGATTTGACAGGATTCTGTGTGTATGCTGAATATGAGGACAGCTTGGTGAATACTGCCTATTAATTTGCTTTTGGGCAGATCACAAGGTCAGGAGTTCGAGACCAGCCTGGCCAACATGCTGAAACCCTGCCTGTACTATACAAAAAATTAGCTGGGCATGGTGGTAGGTGCCTGTAATCCCAGCTACTCAAGAGGCTGAGGCAGGATAATCACTTGAACCCAGGAGGTGGAGGTTGCAGCGAGTTGAGATGATGCCACTGCACTCCAGCCTGGGCAACAGAGCAAGACTCCGTCTCAAAAAAAAAAGAAAGAAAAAAGATGAGAGAAATATTGTTGTGCTTTAAGGAAGCCTTTTAAATTAAAATGTGAGTTGACACCCCAGCCAGAATAAGGGTGATGGTGTCAGGCTCCTGAAAATTATTTTATTATGTGTATATTATTTATATACAGCTTTTAAGAGAATAACTTGTATCAAATAAGATACTTAATTTTAGATATTGTGATAATAAGTCTTATAAGTAATAAGATAAAATTAAGTATATCTTAATTTTATAATTAAGGACGTGCGTTAGTGGAGTGATGGGAGTGGGACATACTTTACTGAGGGATAAAGGAGGTGCAGAAGCATAGGCTACTCTGGAGAAACCTGGAGAAGGAGGGAGATGGGAGAGAAGTAGAAGCCAGAATGTTTGCAAAGATGAAGCATTTTAGGGTTTGGTGGTTTTTTTGTTTTAAGATAAAAAGGGGGGGAATTTTACAAGTTGAGATGGCACAGAGAGGAAAAAGTTTAATTTGTGGTTAAAGTAGTGAGCGTGCTTTTCTGAAACATCATCATTTCTCAAGGAGATGGCGGCTTGGAGGGGGTCAGCTGATGGTTAATAGGAAGCCAGTCTGTAATGAAAAGCTTGCTCTACCTTTGAAATAGGAAATTTGTAGATAGAAATGTTTGTGTTTTCTTTGTTTAAATTATTGTAGCTTGTAGTATAACAAAACATTCACTCAACAAATTTTGTGAATATGCAGATATTTTGCTATATGCAGATACTGGGAAGATGGCAGTGATGAAACAGACACAAATGCCTGCTCTCAGAGAGATAACATTCTAACAAAAATGTGTTTATAAGTGTGCTCAGAACCCATTTCATAATTTCTGCTTGGTTTGTGGACTCGACTGAGGTTGATGTGAGCAGTTCCTCTAAAGGACCATCTCTGTCCCAGGTTGTTGAGAGAATTGTTTTCTGTCCGAGCCCTCTGAGTGGCTCTTGTGTTTGTCTACCGTCTTCCTAATGGTCGCTTTTAAATACCTCATAGAAATACTCTTTATCTCCAGATTTCAACTTGGTCAGTATGTGTACCTGACTAGCAGCCAGTCAAATTTTGATGTTGATGACATGGGTGTGGCAGTGCACCTGGGAAGGTAATTAAGGAGTACTTTTTTGGCAATAATGAAATGTCAGAGTGTTAAAGTGATTAGTTTTTAGAGAAATAATTTCGGTCCTATTTAGAAATACCCATATAGATATTACTTATTCTCTTGCATACTGGTAGGCTTTCTTGGATAGGGAAAGTGGTAGAGATGTGATTAACACTTTGGCATTTGTGTGGTTTATCTTATCTCTGCTTCGGGTCAGGGGTGACTTGTTACTATTTATTTATGGCTAGTTGTGTGGCAGTCCCCAAACAGTTTATTGAAGTTTTGTCTTGTATATGTGACTGTCATATTATGATGGCATAGTTGTTGAGAACAGCTGCTTCAGCCTATTGTCAAACATTTTGGCCCCATCCACCCAGCACACTTCTTTTAGAGGACTGAAGAAAAGGGACCCGGAGTGTCCGTGCAGACGGTCATCCTAGTAATGCTTACTTCAAACAGTGAACAAAATCGATTCACGTCTCAGGTCTTTTGATTTATCTTAATCCATTTGAATTTTGTATTTTAGCCACCTTTGTATCTTTAACATAAAACCATGACAGGGTACTCCTTTCAGAAATCTGGGAATAAAATTGACACTCTAGAAAATAGATGCTCCATTTTTCATGCTTATGCTGTGGTTTCAAATGTATCCTGCCAGCAGTATGCCCCTATCTTAAGCTAGGAGAATCTAGGTTTGAGGAATATGGATTCGGGAGTTCCAGGACTGCCCCCCAGACATGCCCGTTCACTGACCCCCTGAGCTAGTTCCCTTTCTTCCTCTCAGGTTGCTTCCCTAATAGGATGCAGCTCATGGCTTTTGCATCTCCCCTCCCAGCCACAAGATCTTTGAATCTCTGAGGGTTTTCTTCAAGGCATTTTATTCCTGCTAACCACAGGAAAAATCAACAGCCATTAACAAAATTATAGACATGGATAAGGTCCTAAGTTAGGTTTTCACTGAAATATAGATGAATCTAGACTCACGGTTCTTAGCTTCTTAGTTTCTTAGTCTTTTCCTGGGGTTGAAAGCTGTCGTTTTTCCCGAGTGGTATGGGAGCTCTTTTCTCTTTCTGCAGTGCCCCAGGACTAACAGTGGATACTTGGCATACACAAAGACCTCAGTGAAGCTTATTTACATCTTGGAGATTTTTCTGGTGTAGAACCTCATATTGGAAAGGCATTGCTTCCTCACAGCCTGCTATGTACAAATACTGGGCATTTGGGAGTCAGCACGGCTGGATGAAAGATGAGTAAGACAAAGGCCTTGTTCTCAAGTAAAAGTCCAAGGGGAAAAGATCACTCCATTATTTTATTCAGTACATATTTATTGATTACCACCCTTGTGCCAAGCTTTCTGCTAGGGCAGGAGACATAAACTTGAGACCCATTTCTGTCCTCAAGGACCTCAAAGTCAAGAATGGGAAACAGATAAGAGGCCTTTGTAGCAGTGCTCCTTGCTGAGTGAGTACTGAG